ACTGAGCCATCTCCCCAGCCCCTACTCTCCTATTGTTTTGAATTCTTTTTTCTCTTTAACTTCCTTTTAAATTAAGTTCAGTAATAACAGAATAATACCAAAAGTTTGCTTTAGGGCGGGCCGGATAGCTCAGTGGATCGAAGCACCTAAGCAGGCCCGGGGCTGGGGTTTGGATCCCTGAACCTGCCAGGCCAGCCCGCCTCCAGGGCGCGGTTGGGACGGGGAGGCTGTGGACAGGCAGAGCACTACGAGCCCCATCTAGTAGTGAGACCCTGAACACCGTAGACCCTTCCCTGAAATACAGAAAGGAAAAAAAATTGCCTTAGTTGGGGCAGTTACTGTCCTAATACATGAAAATATAGAATAGATACCTCAGTAGAGATCAAGTCACTACTAGTACATAGAAATCATTTGATTCAACTTCATAATGTATCAGATAAAGAATCCAGATCCCCCAGAAGTGACTTTGACTTGCCCAGGCCCTACTGGTAAGTGGCTCAATAAGGAACTGAAACACACGTCTCTTTGTACCCCAGCCATCCCTCCTTTTGAGCACCTGTTCTTCACTGTACTGATAACCAGGTAGAGGTACGTTGCAGGACGGCGAGTGCTGGCTTGGAAGAGTGCCGTATGGAGTACACACTCCATAGACTGATTTAGGTTGCGTCGGTCCTCACACTGGAGGGCCAAGGCTAATGGTGGCGAGTAGCTCCATACTGAGAAATGCTTCTGTCTCATGGTAATCTCTTTTTTTTTATTATTATTACATTATGTTCTAAAGGATTGTACAAACCAAGGAGAAGAACCAAAAGTTGTTCTTCATATGAGGCAGTGCACGTTCCCGTAATTCCAGCTACTCAGAAGAGGCAGGAGAATAACAAGGGCATAGCCAGCTTGGGAAACTTAGCAAGACCCTATCTCAAATGAAAGGGTCAGGAGTGTGGGACAGTGGTAGAGTGCTTACCTAGCATGCTTGGCGCTTAGTGGGTTGAGCATAAGTATCGGAGGCAGAAGTCATACCCCTTTCAGGTGGAAAGAGTGAACTGTGGGCACTGTGAAGACAAGCTAAGCTCTCCAGGGGAAGCTCAGCAGTCCCAGGGCTCCTTGCCTAGCACTGTGTACAACTGCTGTCCACATACCAGCAGGGGAAGCTCTTCCTGGGATTGCCAGCCTAGGGTGGCAGCTGTCCTGGAAATTCCCTGGAGCTCATGTCATTCTTTTCTACTACCTTTAGGCAATACTTAAAGCAAGAAAGCATTGACAAGAAAAGAAAAGAGTTTGACACCAATGGTTGGCAGCTCTTCAGCAAGAAAAGCCAGGTACATTTTGTCTTGTTGTAGTAGACGTCTTAGAAGTCGGCTCTTGGAGCTGGCCAGATAGCTCAGTGGATTGAAGTGCCTGTTTAGGCAGAGAGACAGGGACTGGGGTTCGATCCCCAGCATGCTGTGCTGGCCGCTGATTGAGACTGGGTGTGGTGGCCATTCCCAGTGTTTGGGAGGCCAAAACAGGAGGATCACATCCGATTTATGTGGTGAGACCCTGTAGACCCTCTACTAAATGCATAACAAAAGAAGCAGGCTCTCTAGGGAGAAAAGGCTGTACTGCTTGATTGCTAGAGACCTTATTCATGTCTGACTTCAACTTGGTTGGTTGATTCCTTGGGAAAAATAGGGTTATTTCTGAGAAAATTTATAATGTAGATGTGAGTTTTTTGAAAAGAAAGCCTGTTTTTGGTAAGTTTTTGTTCCTATAGGAAACATTTGCTAATTCTTTAGCCCTTGAGTACAGGGCCAGTTTTTATACCCTGAGCTATATGGAAGTCCGAGTTGTCCTCCTGCATAATTTATATTAAATACACAGGCTTGACTGAAGTGCCGTATTTTTTCTGTTCTGACTTAGGGACAGTGTAATGTCATCTGTTCAGAATTCAGGGAAATATGTAAAAGCTTTTAGTTTGACTCTCATTTTTTAATCTGGGAAGGAAAAAAGCTTGCAAAAATAGCACCATATTGTCTGGCTCTTTCAGGAGATTCCACAGCAGATGAATGGGAGTGACTGTGGGATGTTTGCCTGTAAATATGCCGATTGCATTACCAAAGACAGACCGATAAACTTCACGCAGGTAAGCTGAGCCTTCTTCAGGGACCCTAGGACCTCCCTGTTTCCAAGCTGCCCATAGGTTTCGGTCTGTTCTCTTCTGGGATTCTGCCTGACTGTTGCAGAAGCTAAGAGATCAGAGACCACTGGGGAAAAGGCGGCTTGACTCCGTGATGTGGGTGCACACTGACTGAGTCAGCTTGTGAGTATGAGTACCCAGGAAAGGTACTAGCTGTGCATGCTGGCTGAGGAGGTGGAACTTCAGGAAGGGAGCTGGGTACAGAAGCAAGACAAAGCAGTGAATTAGCCTTGAAAGGAGACAGAGCCAGGCATGACTGGAGAGGCTGAGGGACAGAATCACCGTGTGTTTGAGGGCAGCCTGGACTGCATCACAAGACCCTGTTTCAGATAAACAACTTAAAAAGAAGACAAAGCCTCGTAGATCCTGCAACAGTAAATAACGAGGTGTGATAAACTCTGTGAGTGGGCGTGTAGATGCCTTGAGGAGAGATCCTACCTAACAGAACTAGAAGTCCTAGCCGGGTGGGCTCTGGGGTTCTGTAAGTCCTGCTTCTTGATGCTTGGTGTGCTTTGGGCTGTGATTCATACACTCATAAACACCTCACAGAGGGAGGAGGACACTGATAGCACTTCGTGGCTTACCTTCTGTCACAAGGGGTCCTGGTTAGAAGAGTAGCCCTAGCTGGGTGTGACAGCACACAGCCACTGCCCCAGTCACTCTGCATGCTGAGGTGGGAGGGTAAGGTTAAAGCTAGTTTGGGCGACTTCTCGAGACTATATCGCGAAATAAATGTAAAAAGAGGGCTGGGGATACGCAGGTGAAACCTTGGGTTCAGTCCCCAGTGCCCAGAAAAGCAGCCTTACTTTCTGCCTCTCTTCTCCACCTACCTCAAGCCAATTAGACTAGTAGTTGATTTAAAACCAACTGGTATCTGCCTGTTTCAAATTATAATTTTTTCAAAGAACTCTGGTAAGTATGAAAGGTTTGGAGAACATTCCTAAGCCGAAATCCTGTAGAGTGGTGGGGAAGCCCTTTGAGACTGAGGATCCCACCTGCAGCCCAGACACTATTTGTCACAAAGCACCAATGCTGCAGTCAACTTGAGTATCCCAAGCTCAGCTTCTTGGTGACTGGCTTACGTGGGACAGAGAGAGCTCTGTGCTCCTGCTGTGGTACATGTGCCATGCAGTGTCCTGTGGAAACAGAGCAAAGCCTGAACAAGTTTTTCTGTTTCCCTGGACTCTGGCTTGAAATAGGCCACACCTGGATGTGGCAGTGTCACCGTTAGACTGTCCCCTCTGGTGCAGCTGGCCAGCCTTCTCCTAGCCTCTAACCAGCCATGTCTGTGTACTTTGTCCTTTAGAGAACAAAATGGATTGTGGCTTGTTCTCTGTTTGATTTTTACTTCTGTTTAAATTTGTGGGTTTTTTTCAGTTTTTTTCTACCCTAATCCTTTGTGTAGGTCAGATTAAGCTGATTCTTAAGTTCCTGCCTTCCTCTAAAAAGTGAGTGTTCTAATTTTTGAGCCTGCATCTTACATCCTCTTAAAAATTCAATGTTGAGAACTTCATGAACACTATTTTCAAAATTCTTAAGAGAATTTGGGCATGGCCTGGTCGTGGTATGTGCGTTATAAACTACAAGGGTACAGCAATGGAAAATAGCATAGAAGTAACAGTACGAGGAAACAGTGGAAAGAGGCTGCCACACATGATCAAGGGTGAACGGTTGGAGAGACGAGACATAGCACCAAGACTGTTAACTGAAGCACTTGCCTGGCAAGCGCAAGGGCCTTGCGTTCAACCCTGGGTTCCGCACCAAAAAAAAAAAAAAAAAAAAAGACTGTTAATTGAAAATTTTAACAGGAAGAGTGTGGGAAAGGCATCCTGGGTCCAGTCAAATGAAAATTACGAATGTCTTTATGTCCCCACAGCAACACATGCCGTACTTCCGGAAGCGGATGGTCTGGGAGATCCTGCACCGCAAGCTCTTGTGAGACTGCCTCAGTGAGCGGAGCTGACCCGGGGGACCAGCCCTGTGCTGTCCACAGCCAGAGACCTCGAAAACAGCTGCGCTCAGTCCTCTGCTGTGTGTAGCCCTGACCCTGGCCCAGGCCCCGGCAAGATGCATTCACAAGCACATCTGCCTTGCCTTTTGTATCTCAGATACTATTTTTGCAAAGAAACTCTGGTGCTGTGAAAGGGGTGCGGGGCGTCCCTGGGCTGAAGAGAGACTGCTTTCACCTCTTCAGTTCTGCCCTCATGTTCTTAAAGGGCTCCAGCCTCACTCGGTCCCTGACTAGGGGACTGAGGAAAGCTTGGAAGGAATCTTGGTTTCTTACAAGCTGTTGTTGCTAGGCCTTACTAAGAAGTAGGAAAGGGCATGGCCAAGAGGCAGGGCAGGAGCCACCAGCATTCACACGCACTCATCCGTGCATGATTTGCACAGTGTAGTCAGGAAAGTGTCTGTGAACTGGACTTCGGGGCTCACGTGTGAGTCCGTCTTCGGGACCCTTCCCATTATATGTCCTGTATGTGAAAACCACCTGCTTCTCTGCAAGCCTGCCTCACCAGTGTCATTACATCACGAGCCCCAGGCAGTCGAGTCCCCACGAGGAGGGCTTTGCGTGTGTTCACACACACGTGACAGGGAAGCCCCCCCCCCTGAAGGTTCGTGGGCGGCAGAAGCCCCGTTTCTCGTGTTGCCTGGTTCTGACCAAGAAGAGAAGGACCTCAGACTTCAGCCTAAAGTTCAGTGGTGGATGAATCCAGGTCCAGTTGGTCTGTGGCTAGCTTAAGTATGTTTCTGACCACAGAATATATGTGTGTGTATTCATCACAGGGATGTGCTTTTTTAAAAAAGAAGACTGAATGTGTTCACCATTTAGCCTGTAGATTATTTTCATTTTCAAAATTCTAGCACAGAGATCCCAGCCCTTATGTGTAGGGTGTTCGTGGACTTCCTGACAGAATACTTTGAGGCCTGGGTGAACTTCGCCTTAGGGGTAGATGTTACTGATGGGCTAAGATTTTCAGCTGAAAACACGGGTGGAGTTGGGACTGATGGATTTGAAGGTTAATACCTGCTATTCCTTTTGTCCTTCTAGCTCTCCCCTGCCCTCTGAGAGCTCCCAGGCTTCGACAGTGAAATGATCTGATGCCAGTGTCATTTTGTACTGAAGTTCCAAAAGAGGGACATTTTATACTTTTTCTGTATTGTAATAGGTAGTTTTGTATAAAACTTTTCTCCCCTACCCTTAGACCTGTTCTTTCCAGCATTGTGCTTTCTCCCTGGGCTTATTTGAAGATTTTACTGTTTTATACCAAGCTTGTTTAGTACATTTTTCTATGTTTTACCACAAGTTACAATTTGAAAAGAAAACTATTTTTTTTAAATATTCCATTGTTAAGTGAATGTTACTGTCTCCACTCCCCCCACCAGTTGTCCTACTTTCTCATAACTGCCTGCCTGTGGGGGAGACCACGTTGTGTGCTGGCGCTCTTCCCTCCCTCCCTCCCTCCCTTCCTCCCCACCCGCTGGCCCTGCCCGCCACTCTCCGCGCTCCTCCTCCTGCTCCCTTGTTCTCCCTCTCTCCTTCTCACTGGTCCTTCCTTCTCCTGCTCCCGTAGGAAATAAACAGCTTTCTCTGTGTGAGTTGCTGTGGCTTTTCACGTGCCCTAGAAAGCTGTGGCACGCAGGCTCTGTCGGGCTCCTGGAATGCTGTCTGGTTCCCGGTGGCCGCTGCCTGTGGTATAGGTGGCAGTATGGGGTAGATTTGGACGATAAATCAAAAGATTTGAATTTCCAGACTGTTACTGTTGTCTGGGGCTCGTGACAAGGTAGTTCTCTGTATTTATTTATTCTTCGTTCATTTAGATAACATGTCTTCTCTTCCTCAGAAACTTTTTGTACAGACCAAAGTAACAAATATTTATCGCCATGTGTAGCAGAAAATGAAGCATACGACAAAAGCACTTTGCAAAATACATAAGGAATTGTTGAGCCTGTCTGAATTTGGCCTGTTTCTCCAGTTCCGTTTTGTACCAGGTAGAGGCTGGGATCCTGAGGCCATGCTGCCGCAGGCCTGGAGGGAGTGGGCCAGACTGTGGCCTGTGGTGGCCTCATGGGTCCCAAGTGCAGACTCAGGGAATGGGCCTTTGTCCTCAGCCGCTCAGCAGAGGGAAGGCTGGAGCCATGAATTTGGATGACCAGAACTGAAAAAGATGTTTCTGCTTTCGCGGCCCGGGGCATGTTATCAATACACTGTTTGCTCTAAACCAAGCCTGCTGCTTTCCTTTCCTCCCTGTCCCCATGCTCGGTGTACACAGTGGCCCAGCCCCCTGGCTTAAGAAGGGACACCGAATAACCCTAAATGCCCGATGCCAAGTCATAACCTTCAACAGAAGTTAGGCCCAGCAGTCATTCCTGGATGCCGCGCAGAGAAAATGCGGCTTGTGTACATTGAGCACCTGAGTACAAGGCACAGGCTGGCTTTACTCTCTTTGTCACCCGGAACTCTAGTCTTGTGGGGAGTTCAATAGAAGAGCACCCCCACCCCCACCTAGGGCCGTGGTGTCAGTGCACCCGCTCCATGCAGGGAGCTTTAGACTGGTAAGTGGCAGTGACTGCTCTTGCTTGAACACTGCAATCAAAGTAACATCTTCTGCCCACCGGCCCCAGCACCGTTGGGTGCGAGGGTTAGGAGTTCTGGGGAATAAAGAGGTAACTAGAAAGTCACTTCTGCCCACCCCATCCTGCAGACTCCTCCACTGGGTCGCTAGAGACCCAGTGTTCGTGATGGCAGCCTGTGGTCTGCACCATCCACAAGGCTCTGAAAGGGGCCTCGCCAGAGCCAGCCTGACAACTGGCGTGAGGCTCGTCTCCCTGCTTCCGGGTGGGCCAAGATTCAGCAAGGGGCTTTCCATTGCGTCCTTGTTACCCAGATGCTGAGTCCCAGAGCCGCAGCATCCAATGCATCCCAAGCTTTGGGGAGGGCCAAGAAAGGCCCAGCTCAGCATACTTCTCTGCACAACACACAGCAAAATGTGACCCGCTTGACTGGGGAGTGCCCTCACCTGCAACCCTGTGGCAGGAAGGAGCAGGAGACCTTGCTCCAGGGTGAGCCTTGAGGAGCAGTGCCAGCAGCTGTTCTGGCCTCTGGGAGTTCCTTGGGACACCGCATCTTGTGACTGGCTGGACCAGAGGTCCAGGATCTGGTCAAGCAAAGACTCTGGAATGAAAATAAGGACTACGGTACTGCTGGGAGTAGGAACCTGTGATCCCGGGCACCGGTGTGGCTTCGGAGCCACACCTACGTCAGACCCTTGACTCAGGCAGCAGGTCCTCACTGCAGACTCCCTTGTGCGATGCAGAGGCTGTCGGGCCCTGTGCTAGGAGGGCGAATGGCTCGAGTTGCCATTGGCATCCCTTAGAGTGTGGGTTTTTTCCTTTCACAAATACATGCCAAGCACGTGCACCCAAATTCTGTCTCCCCAAACCATTCCTAGCATAAGATCTGGACCTCTGCACCCTATACCATCAGGAAGGGACACGGCCCACGTGTGGTGCGCTGGCATCCATTCTGGGCCGCGGCCGAGGCAGAGGGAACTGGTGCTGTTTTCCAAAGCAGGGGTGCAGACTGCTTCCTGGCCTGCCAGGGAGGAAGTAGGGTCACTGAAATGTGACAGTGTCTTACTGGGCCGTGGATGAGGGACGGCTGTGGCGGATGAGGGACGGCTGTGGCGCCCGCCGCTGCTTTTGTGGGCTCGTACAGCTCATCTTGATCTCACACCCAAGGCCGCACTCTGCCCTAGATGCCATGGCCTTCCTCCTCCCTCGCAGGTTAGCGCTTTTCGGGGCCCGCGGGCTTTCTCCTGACAGACTTTAGTGGGGTTCTTTTAAACATTTTTTTTTATTTTTTATTTATTTGAGAGAGAGAGAGAGAGAGAGGCCACCAGCTCAGCCCCACCAGGGGGCGGGCTGGCTGGCATGTGGTGCTGGGGGATTGAACCGCAGTCCCTGATGCTTTGCCAAGCTTGTTCTAAGTAGGTGCCCTAGACCACTGAGCCATCTCTCCAGCCCCTAGTGGGGTTCTTTTAAATCACACACCTTTTTTCTCTCTATTGCAGTGGCTGTCTGGGATCTTTCCTGTCCTGCCTTTGTCGTGGTGTGCACACAATCCCAGCACGCCAGGAGACTGACAGATGTGAGGCCAGCACAGCTTAGCGATTGATGCGATTCCATCCCAAGATTAAAACAGTTTTTAAAAGGCTGGGAGTGCAGCTTAGAGCCAAGGCCCTGGATCAGTCCTCAGAATGGGGAAGGAAAAAGCGGACTTAAATGGACAAGAACCCCTTAGGGCGGGCTCGGGGCATGAGCCTGCGTTTTCAGAGCACACAGTGGAAGGATGGTGCAGCCAGACAGATGGAAGCCACGGTGTCGGGGCCAGCAGCCGGCCCTGCTCTCTGCGTCTGGCCCTGCATGGCGCTCACGTGTTGGTGATGGGAACCTGCGCAGACAGCACGCGGTTATTAAGATGCAGACTCGGACGCCTGGTTCTAAGTGAAGCTGGGAGTGGAGCATGTGGGTGCAGCTGCTTTTATCTGCCTGGGTATGACTTGCCCAAGTTTTAAAAAATGTGTTTCATTTAAAATAAATCTATGGATCTTGTTCCTTGCTTTGACTGGAAACTTCCTGGTACAGAAACAGTGCTCCGAGTTTGTCTCTCTGTCTCTGTCACTGTCCTGTCAGTGTCTCCTGATCCGAGCTGGGGCAGTGGTTGGGTCCTTAGGGTAGCCTGGATTTCTGAGTCCACCCCCTAACCAGGAGTCTGAATACTGTTCATTCATTTATTTCATTCCACATACCCGAAAGTGAAGCCTGGAACGCAAATACCATGCAAATCTGTGGCTTTCTGGCACTTTTCAAATCCCAGCCTGTCTGTGGAGTCTGCCAGGAAACACTCCTGAAGTGACCACACCAGTCAGGGCTTCAGTGTTCCCGGCTGTGTCCCTTGTCTCCTCGTCCCCTCTGCACTTTCTCCCCACATCTTAGAGAAGTGCTTCCTGCCATCCTGCCTTTAAGACTGCCGCTTGCAGGAGTGAAACACAAGAAAGCTCCGACCTCCTGCAGACTACAGTGGAGAAGCATCCCACCCCTGCTGGGCTGGCAGAGCCCTTGCCATCCTCGGGATGCCCTCAGGTTCGCTTTCTAGGCGTGGTTAAGATTTTCCAGCTGTCTGACAGTGGTCGCGGTGAGAAACCTTCAAGCCACCCTTCATTTCTCTGATTTTGAATGCCTCAGTCTGCGCTGTCTGCCAACAAACAGGGAAAAGATGGTCTTGCTTGGGCGTCATCTCCAGCCCCTTCCCCTGCCACCCCTTCTGATCTTAGCCCAGCAGAAAGTTCCAGAAGGCACCTGCTCCACAGGAGTACTTGCTGGACACTCCTCTTGAACCTCAGGACAGGGGTTGCACTACCTTCCTTCTCGTGCCCACTTGCCTGGCAGCCATCACCAGTGGGTAAAGTGCACCCCAGGTCAGTCAGGCCGCCACCTCTCCCTGTCCTGTGCTCTGCCCAGCCATCCTGGCCTCTGCTGTTGGTCTGAGGAGCCACACTTGCCTTTCCTCGAAGCCAGGCTTCTGCGCAGGTCCTCTGGGTGCCGGTGGCATTCCACACCAGTCACACACCGAAGCTTCCTTTCACTCATCTTTCCTCATCGTACTTATCAGCATCTGAGGATATTATTTACTGATTTGCTTTACCCATTTCTTGTGGAAATGTTCACCCCAGTTCCTACACAACTGGAGGAGCGGAGTAATTGGAGAAGTAGCCCAAGCTGTGTCTTGCTTTCGCTCTGAAGGTCTCATCTCATTGCCAGGCCTCACTTCTGTCTGGCTGCAGGGCTTCCCACCTCGGGGTCTCTTCCCCTTAGCACCTAAAGCCATCTTCCTCCAGGCGTACTAGTAAGAATGTCAGCAAACCTCTGCTGAGGCCCTGGTCCCAGACACCCCCCCCCCAGATGCTTTCTACACAATGTTGTGTGAATTCTCACACACCCATGAGGCACAAACTAGGATCCCCCTTTTTCAGATGAGAAAAGCAAGAGCCATGGACAGTGGGCAGCTGGTCTGAATCTCACACGGCAGCGACGGTCTTCAAGCCACTGCTGCTGCTGCCACCAGGGCCAACGCGTTCACTCTCACAGGGAAGAGCCTGTCTCAGATGCAGTGCTCTACTGCAGTGAAGCCAAAGCAAAGAAGGGCTTTCGCATCTTCCCTCTCCTCTCCGGAAAGGGCTCGAGGTCCTTGTCTTCTACTGGTAGTTCAGGCAGTGAGAGTGGGGGTGCGTTTCCCCGACTGCTGCAGAACATGGCAAGGCGGTCCCCTCACCTTTCTCTTTCTCCTTCTGTACTTCTCCAGCTTGCTTTCAGCTTCAGGTTTTGGCTTCCACGATGGCTGGCAAAACGTTTCTATTACAGTCTCTGGTCCTGACCTAGAAAGAAGAAGGCTAAGGTAGGTGATGGGTTACGCCCTAGTATGAATTGCTGAGTTATTATGGTGGTCATGTAATAAGGCTGA